CCATCCCAAATCCTTATCCTGATCCTTTCCAAGTGCTATATAGTCGTAATGGCTTGGCGCTTTCCCCCCTAATAATTCCCTCTTTCGCTAATTTTGGCTGCACTATGCCAAATCTTTTTCCTTTGTGAGATGGTATCCATACAAAGGAGATTCTAAACTCTTTATTTCATGCAGCGAACATTTATAATTGATGTTACGAGGCGCTGGGTGTCGATCTTGTAGAAGACTTCAAGAATCTTCAAGTCTTCTCTTTAAAGTGCATGAAGAGAAGACGCTGAATCACAGAAAATTATATATATATATATATATATATAGTATATAATATATATATATATATATATATATATATATATATATATATATTTTTAGTGTATTGGTAGATAGTTACGGTGCAGATAGTTCTGTTTGTCTAGAGCTCAGCCAGTAGTTTTAAGCTGACCCAGTGCTTATGTGAAAGTATTATTTCTAATCAGAAGTACTGCAGTCTGTCATATTGACGATTGGGCTGAGCCGTCAATCGTCAATATGCTGTGAGGGAGCATCTTTTATCAAAGATCTCACAGCGTTGCTGAGATCTTTGATAAAAGAGGTAATTGTTTCAGGTGCGATATCTTTAGGAAAAGCAAGATCACCTTCCTTAGTGATATGTGTGTATGATACATGACTAGTGGGGTACAGGTTAAAATGGATATCACTGGCAGGTAGATTACATTTAAAAATTCCTGTTCAGTCTGGTGATATTACAGGCATATATTTACTCCATCATTTATCATACAAGGAGAGAGTTGGCACGCTGGCACCACTCATTAGTGTGTTAATGGCACAGGATAGTTAGCGTCTGAGCAATGCTGAAATAGTCGGGTCTCTCATGACTTTAATGAAAAAAAGTCGTGTTGACTTAAAAGATAGGATTAGGTATCTTTGCATTTGTGCAGCTGCCCTAGACTATATGAAGGGGAGTACAGCGTGTCAAAAAGCTAGCTACGTGATGCTAACATCCTCATCACACAGGATGGTTAGTCATACAGAGGCATGTGATAAGTAGTCTGCACTGGCAAATTCTGGGTGCATTATGAGGATATCTTCAAGAACAGAAGAGTGAATAAGGTAGCAGGGATACTAAAAGTCCCCATCTCGCAGGATGGTTAGTCATACAGGGCCATATGTTCAGTAGCCTGCACTGGCAAATTTTGGGTACATTATGAGGATATCTTCAAGAACACGAGAGGTAATAAAGTAACTGCAAAGCTCCAGGTACCTCATGCCAACTGGTCTGAAAGGTCTGATAACTGGGCATTCAGTGATGTAGTGTACAAGCTCATGCCCAGTACTTGTATGAAGCAATAACGAAGCAACTCTACGGGCTCGACACACCACATTTAACTTACTCGGCTTACAAAGCTCCTTGATATGAGAAATGCTTTAAAAAGTTTGAGAATTATTATCTGCCTCCGACACATACTGCATCGCACCGCTGTCTCCATCTTCATTCTTATCTCTCCCTTCCTTTATCTATATTGTTTTGTCTGTTTTTTGTCCTCAGACTTTATTTTAAAGCAATTTTATCTCTTTGTTTTCTTCTCTATACTAAATATATTGATACACTATCCGCCCTCGGCTCTACACTCCTCCCCATTGCTTTATCCTCTCTCTCTCCCTCTCCCTCCCTTCTCTCTCTCTTCCTCCCTTCTCTCCCTTACTCCCTACTTCAGTCCTCCTGCAGTGTTGTGGTTACCTTGGCTCTTATCCCTTCTCTTATTCCCACACACTAATACTCCTCCAATTTTATCATATTATGCTTATTTACAGTTCTTCTTGTTCTCTAGACTTCACACACACACACACACACACACACACACACACACACACACACACACACACACACACACACACACACACATACACACACACATACACACACACACACACACACACACACCACACACACACACACACACACACACACCACACATACACACACACACACACACACACACACACATACACACACACATACACACACACATACACACACACACACACACACACACACACACACACACACACACACACACACACACACACACACACACACCACACACTACACACACACATACACACACACACACACACAACACACACACACACACACACACACACACACACACACACACACACACACACACACATACACACACACACACACACACACGCACACACACACACACACACGCACACACACACACACACACACACACACACAACACACCACACACACACACACACACCACACACACACACACACGCGCGAGTGAGCATGAGTGCGTGTGTCCACACTTGCGGGAGATGTCATAATAGGAATCAAAATGTTGTTTTAGATTCAGCTACTGAGAACAAAAGTTCCAAGTAGCACGGGCTAGGGTGAGCCCGTAGGTAATCAAAATTTTTCTTGCTACCATCTTGACATGACGATAATTGTATCTACACATTTTCCAGGTGACGGGATGAGTATGCCGTCCCTGGCGTTACTGTACCTGGCCCTCACCGTCTTCCTCACCAGAGGTACACCTGTCTTTTTTTCCTACCTAGGTATAGGTGTGTGTGTGAGAGTGTTGATGTGTGTGTTTAGATTTTAAATTAAACGAAAAATATCAGAGAGAGAGAGAGAGAGAGAGAGAGAGAGAGAGAGAGAGAGAGAGAGAGAGAGGAGAGAGGGAGTGTGTGTGAGAGAGAGAGAGAGTTGTGTGTGTGAGAGAGAGAGAGAGTTGTGTGTGAGAGAGAGAGTTGATCCCATATGACCCCTTGTGTGACCCCTTGTGTGACCCCGTGTGTGACCCCCAGCTGTGGGAACACTACAGGAGGACAAGCGGGTTGAAATCACAGAGCTGCTGGTGCCTGAAGCCCCCAGCGACGGAGACGACGTTACTCTGACCTGTCGTTTCCAGCTGGCGGGCTCCGACCACGACCTCTACACCGTCAACTGGTGGAGAGGCAAGGACCAGTTCTACACCTACAAGGGCACCACCTTCGACCCCAAGCACGCCTATGCCTTCCGCGGTATTCAAGTGCAGGTGAGGCATAAGCGCCTCCAAGTGAGGTATGCTTCATGCACGTAGGTGTTCAATCCCCCGAGACCGTCCACAAATGGTTGGGGACCATTCCTTTCCCCCTGTCCCATCCCAAATCCTTATCCTGACCCCTTAAAAGTGCTATATAGTCGTAATGGCTTGGCGCCCTGATAGTTCCCTTCCCTTTCCTCCATTCCCTTTCTTGAACGACACTTCCCTACACCTGGCACCTATTCTCCCCTCTCTCCCATCCTCCCTTCCCATCTCCCATAATAATTAATAATTTCTAATAAATAATAAAGCAATAAAAATAATAATAATAACAGTAACAGCAACATATAAACGCATCTATAAATGTTCCAATTATAAATGGTATATAAAGCAGGTTTAGTTTGTCAACAAAAAACAAATGTATTTCGGCTTGTAAAATGAGTAGCGGCTTTTGTGAGTATTATATATAAATAGTTGACATGAGCAGTAACATATTTAAGTGCATGGAAACATGCTTATGAGTAGTCACTATATTAAAGTGTTCTCTCTCTGTCTCTTTCTCTCTGCCTGTCTGTCTCTCTCTCTCTCTCTCTCTCTCCTCTCTCTCTCTCTCTCTCTCTCTCTGTCTGTCTGTCTCTCTCTCTCTCTCTCTCTCTCTCTCTCTCAACAGAAGGAGAACTCGACACAGGAGGTGGTGGTGCTGAAGAACGTCTCCCAAGACACCTCCGGAGTCTTCAAATGTGAGGTGATGGGTGAAGGGCCTTCATTCCGCACAGCTGTCCAGACCAAAACCATGACTGTTATTGGTGAGCGTCGTGGCTAGGGAGGGGGATAGAACCTGCTGGCTGGGGGATAGATGGAGGAATGATGGCAAAAGTGGGGAAAACCTGGCATGGGAAGGGGATCTGACCTTGGGGGGAGGGATAGAGGATGGATGGAGGGTAGGGAATGCACATTCGTCAGGGACGAATGGAAAGGGATGGATGACATGGAGCGAGCGAATTATCAGGGGGAAAGCGCCAAGCCATTACGACTATATAGCACTGGAAAGGGTGGAAGTATGATAGGTATGATAGGGAAATAAGTCAGGAGTCATTGCATTAGATAACCAACGGCTAGACAAGCGGGGGTCAAAGAGCTACAACTCGATCCTGATGGCACAAATGAGTGCACACACACACACACACGAGAGGAACTGTAGGTGAAGCTCTTACAGCCTCAGACAAGAGAGCCTAAGACAAGAGAGCCTCAGACAAGAGAGCCTCAGACAACAGAGCCTCAGACAACAGAGCCTTAGACAAGAGAGCATCGTCCACACCAAGAGCCACCTTAACATAGTGTTCCCAACTCTTTATTATGGTATCGAACTCTTTACACAAAAAAAAAGAGCCGCCAGACTCCTGCAAAGTGACTAACATTGTGTCAATATACAAGAAACTGGGACAAGAGCCACGGAACTATTGAAAGGATATCTTAAAGTTCCTCGAGATCCAAAGGAGGCGCGTTGGATTAGATATTGGATTTTAACTTCCAAACTGTTGGATAGACTAGTGTTTAACGACAAGATACTGGATATGAAACCAGAGAGGTGGTTGGGCAGACCATATCGTCCTGTAAGACTGCTAAACTCAAGACCTACCCCATCTTAGGATATAGAAATAGGTTGGTGAGCACTGAAGAATGTTACGTAGGATGAGTGAGAGGAGAGGCACTATAGTGGAGAGAGACAGAGATTTAGAGAGAGAGAGAGAGAGAGAGAGAGAGAGAGAGAGAGAGAGAGAGAGAGAGAGAGAGAGAGAGAGAGAGAGAGAGAGAGAGAGAGAGAGAGAGAGAGAGAGAGAGAGAGAGAGAGAGAGAGAGAGAGAGAGAGAGAGAGAGAGAGAGACAGAGAGTGAGAGATATTTAGAGCAGAGAACACATGCAGCTGAAGCAGTATTATTTAGAGCAAAACCCTCCATAGCTGCTGTACTATAGACAGAAACTTGAAGCACAATAACGTATCAATAAATCCCAATACCATATATAACAATACCCACACACGAGGTAAAAGTGATGACGTTTCGGTCAGTCTTAAACCACTATCAAGTAGTGGCGACGTTTCGGTCAGTCTTAAACCACTATCAAGTCGTGGCGACGTTTCGGTCAGTCTTAAACCACTATCAAGTCGTGGCGACGTTTCGGTCAGTCTTAAACCACTATCGAGTCGTGGCGACGTTTCGGCCAGTCTTAAACCACTATCAAGTCGTGGCGACGTTTCGGTCAGTCTTGAACCACTATCAAGTCGTGGCGACGTTTCGGTCAGTCTTGAACCACTATCAAGTCGTGGCGACGTTTCGGTCGGCCCTGGTATGTCCCTGACTTTGTAAGAAAGGATTAAACCGTTGCTACATATCTTTCTTTTCATGTGTGGGGTGGAGTACATGATCCTAGTACATAATTGCATATATATCACGCTTAGAACTGCCACTAAATCCTTTAGTAGGTATAGTGAACACCATCCTCATAACCAAAACACCATCACCACCACCACCATCATCACACTACCACTCTCCCCAATACAGTGCCACCTACCCATGTGGATATAGTGTCGTGGAGAAGACCGGACCCGCCCACCTATAGTGCCGGGGACACCATCCACCTCAACTGCACTGCAAGAGGTGCCAAGCCCAGAGCCACATTATACTGGGAAATTAATGGGAAATCGGTAAGTTCTTTCGGAATAATGTGTATGTATATATGTACGTATGTATATATGTACGTATGGTTACGTATGTATATATGTACGTATGTATATATGTACGTATGTATGTATGTATGTATGTATGTATGTATGTATGTATGTATGTATGTATGTATGTATGTATGTATGTACGTATGTATGTATGTATGTATGTATGTATGTATGTATGTATGTATGTATTTATATGTGTTTGTGTGTGTTTGTGTATTTACTAGTTGTATTTACTATTTGTACCTGCAGAATCGAGCTATTAGCTCTTGGACCCCGCCTTTCTAACCGATCTATTTTTGCTCTAGTATGTCTACTACATATATTTCTCTCTACCACACACATACACACATACCCAAGAAGCAGCCTGTAGCAGCTATCTAACTCCCTGGTACCTAATTATTCCTGGGTGAAGAGGTGTATTAGGTTAAAGAAGTTCTGCCCATCACCACCACCACCACAACCACATTCACCACCACCACCACTACCACCACCACCAGTACCACTACCACCACCACCACCACCACCACCACCACCAGCACCACCACAACCACCACCACTACCACCACCACCACCACCACCACTACCACCAACAGCTCTCTCTCCCCCCCCACAGGCACGAGAGCTACACCTCGAGCGGTACTCCGACTTCGAGGACAGTCGAGGGAGAGTAAGCTCGACCTTAGGGCTCCGTTGGAGAGCGCCTGAGTACTTCTCCAACAACGTAGCGCGAGCAGCGTGCCTTGCTGTGGTGGCGGGCCGCTCCACCACCACTGCTGTGAGGGAGATCTATCTCCACCCAGCCTCCAGCGCCGCTTTCAATCACCAGTACGCATCCGCAGGTGGGTGACAGGTGGATGATAGATTATAGCATTATAGGTGGCAAGTGGCAGGTGGATTGTGGTTGATTTGTGAGGCTGTGAGTCAGTTAATGGGTGATTGAAGGGTGGTGGAATGACAGAGGGTATATATAATGGGTTTAAAACATGGATGACGGATGAGGGTTTGAGATCGGTGGATAAGGTGAAGGACAGGTGAACGTTTGACAGGTGAACGGTTGACAGGTGATCAATACATGGATGTATGGTGGTAGGAGGAGGTGGATGACTGGATGAACTAATGGATGAACTAATGGATGAACTAATGGATGACCAATAGCATTACGGGAATGATTTACGGTATTGCTGTATAATTGCCATTTCGTGGAGTTTGAGGATATTATTGTGAGCCTTGATTGGCTTCCATGTATATAGCTCACCAACAATCAGGTAGTTATGTATACACATGTATACATAACCCAAATGGTTATGTATACATACGTATATATTATGTATACACAGGTATAACCATTCAGAAATAATTAACATTTACTAGAAATAAACAAATCTATCCTTTTTAACATTGTAAAAAAGCCATAATTTTTTTAAAAGTACATAAAATCACCTGGATTAAAGAAAACCACGATATATATATATATATATATATATATATATATATATATATATATATATATATATAAACCTCATTTAAATATCTAAAATCTAATTAACCCTCATATAATAATATAATTATCATGCTAAATGAAAAAAAGTAAGTTAATTAGGCAACGGTTTTTTTCAGTGGAAAAACACGTATAATATTTTTGTTTTTAGATAAATTTCTTTTTTCTTTTTAGATAAAACAACGAGGGGGCTAGATTTTTTCCAATATTAATGATGTGTATTTTTTACATCGAGATCATGTTCATCTCTCGAGTTTATTGTTTTAATAAAGTTTAAATATTCAATTCGTTTATGACATTGTAGCTTCTATCTGCGGTCATAGGGATATAGGAATATCATTATATTATTAATGCTAAGAGTAGTTGAAGTAGCATACTATCCCTACCATTGATATCCCTTATCAGTGACCTCCCTTATCATTGACCGCCCTTGGCAGTCATTTAGCCTCACCTGACTGTGTCTGACCTTCCTCAGGGTGTGAATTGACAACGTCGTGGATAATTCTGAGTCTCGCCGCTATCTCCATCGCTCAGAATTTCCCCTAAACCAGAGGCATCGCTCAGAATTTCCCCTAAACCAGAGGCATCGCTCAGAATTTCCCCTAAACCAGAGGCATCGCTCAGAATTTCCCCTAAAACCAGAGACAAACAGCAGGAAAGGAGGAATCAGGTCACCGTCTCTATCGGCCGGAATTCCCCTTAAGGCGAGGATTGCTGCAGCAGAATGGGGGAGGAAGAGAAGGTGAAGAAGGAGGATAACAAGACAGAACGAAGAAGGTTATCATGTTATATCTTAATGGATATCAATTGATTAACGAAAAAGCTTATGAAGTGATATCCAGGACATATTCACGTCATGGATATCAATTGATTAACGAAAAAGCTTATGAAGTGATATCCAGGGCATATTCACGTCATGGATATCATTTGATTAACGAATAAGCTTATGAAGTGATATCCAGGACATATTCACGTCATGGATATCATTTGATTAACGAATAAGCTTATGAAGTGATATCCAGGGCATATTCACGTCATGGATATCATTTGATTAACGAATAAGCTTATGAAGTAATATCCAGGACATATTCACGTCATGGATATCAATTGAAGAATACAAACAATTATTGCCAGTGGAATCCAATCTTGATACAATTCCCTTTGTCAGGGATACGAACCCTGTACTGATTGGGCTTATCGAGGCTTTTCCCCCCTTGGCCAACCACAGACCTCTCCCAAGACGCTCCTCTACAACACTTGCCCAACTCCCAGGAACCTATTTACTGCTGGGTGAACAGATGCATCGGGTTAAAGGAAACGTGTCCAACCGTTTCTGTTCCACTCGGCAATTGAATCATGATTACAGCGTGATATTGTACATAATTAATTTTCTTTTTTTGGATCTTGAAGTTGGCCGAGTTCCCGACTCACAGCCAGAGATCCCGGGTTCGATTCCCGGGCGGGACAGAAATAATTGGGCACGTTTCCTTTCACCTAATGCAGCTGTTCACCTAGTAGTTGATAGGTACTCGGGAGTTAGGCAACTGTTGTTGGGTTGCATCCTGCGGTGGGGGGGGGGGGGAAGGGTCAATAGAGTACAGAGGGGACCTCGATACAAGTATATATATTCACAGGCTTCCTGTCTCAAAGAGAACCCGTCCTCAAGAGGAAATTCATTACTTTAGGCAGCAAACTGCCCACTCAAACCACCTGGAGGGTTATGTAGATATTTGTCATGGGTCTAAAGGCATATTGGGTTCCAGTCATAGTCTACTTGTAAACTGGCTTGTGAACCTTTGTCTCGAACCGAGATTATTTTAAAATTATAACTTTATTGTATTATAAATCGTTGGTTTAAAATATTAAAAATGTGTACTGAGAACGGATTTCTTTTTTAACGGTCTGCAGAATTGGGTTATCTGTAAAGGAAATTCAAGGGATCACTTGAATAGTTTTCGAGTTCCATATAACACATTTTGGGCAATATTACACCGTATTAACGTAAACAAACGAAATGAAACCTAACTTAACTTAACCTAACCTAACCTAACCTAACCTAACGTAATCAAATCTTAACGTAAAGTAAACTTAACCTAACCTAAAACAGCACTGCAGGCGATGAGTCACAATAACGGGGCTGAAGTAGTTTGCCCAGACTACACACTAGAAGGTGAAGGGACGACGACGTTTCGGTCCGTCCTGGACCATTCTCAAGTCGATTGAACTTGAGAATGGTCCAGGACGGACCGAAACGTCGTCGTCGTCGTCGTCGTCCCTTCACCTTCTAGTGTGTAGTCTGGTTAAAACAGCACTAATTACATAGTCGTTCCCATCCCATAACCGTGAGCTAATTTCCTCCCTGAGAACAAGTTAACTAAAGAACACAATTTAGAATGATTGGAGATGCTGCTAATATTCAAGAACATTTATTAACACCTTTTAATGCTCGCGGGATTTTGTATATTTCAAAAAAATATAATAAATTCATATTGATAATACACCTCGGTAAAATGGTATTGTATATAACATCGATCAAAATACATTAACTAACAAGTCTTGTAAATATTTCGGCTGTTTCCAAGATCATAATAAAGTTTACATTCTGGACTTTATTTACATTCATTTACATTTACATTCATTAAATAGCTTCGGGTCCTATTAGAAAAAAAGAAGGGTTTTAGAAATGGGTTTTAGAATTACAGAGATTCTAGGTAAAATAGTTAACTACTCTTTCATTTCAGTGACCTCGAAAACCCATTTAGTTCACACTAATATCAAGTTTGAAACGACAGTAAGAGTGAAGTGATATCATAATACATTTTGATATCACCCAAACAGGGATTTTATCCAAGGCATCACGTATTGACAACACCCCAGATAACAGAGACATCACACACGCTAGCTTAAACGTTTATTCATTTAATAATCCACCCTTGTTATCATAAGATATCCACGGGATTCCTCATGATCCTGCACTATTTGTCAATTCAGATGATTCAAACCAGATGAGACAATGAACTTAAATGAAGCAGATAACATCGAAGACACGAAACAGGAACGAACTAATGATCTTCAATTGATTCCCCACTGTGTTTGCCTCTTATCTTTCCCACCCTCCCTCCCTTATCCTTCTACCTCCCTCACCCTCCCTCTACTTCCCTCCCACCTTCCATCCCACTCTTCTCACTCGATCTTCGGCCCGGAAATTAGAGCCACACGCGGGTACGAGGCTCCGCCGTACCAGCAAAAGCTCTACCTGACCTCAGGATACGGAAATAAACCAAGGCAATAATCCCCGAGCGGAAGAACTTGGACGGACGGAGGAAGAAGAATGTCTCATATTGGAGACACGAGGACGACAAGAAATGTGGCAATAACAGGAAGCCAAGGGTGACCAACAGGGAGACTAGCCAACAGGGATACTAGCCAACAACAGGGATACTGGCCAACAGGAGACAGGCCAACAGGGATACTAGCCAACAGGGATACTGGCCAACAGGGACACTGACCAACAGGGACACTGACCAACAGGACACTGACCAACAGGGACACTGACCAACAGGGACACTGACCAACAGGGACACTGGCCAACAGGGACACTGGCCAACAGGACACTGACCAACAGGGACACTGGCCAACAGGAACACTACTACCAGCCTCTGACTCTATCATTTGTGTTCCGTCACTTAACAGTCCAAAAACAACTTCCTCACTACTCAGTGTTCACGCCCCTATATATATATATATATATATATATATATATATATATATATATATATATATATATATATAATCCCACAAGCTGAGAAACAGACGAAAAAAATACCTCATCGTCCACAAAATGATGAATTATTTACACCCGATCACTGACGCGAGGAGTCTAGGATTCGAACGTGGTTCGGCGACGCGATCCGGATAAGGCAAGAGGCAATCCGGGGACCACTCTAAGACGTCTGCGACTCCCACAGGAGGACTTCCAAACAAACACACACACACACACAGGAAGTGGGCGTGAATAACATTTCTTTTCTGTTCTCTACACACGAGGGAAATAAGCTGCAAGATAGCGCTTATCTCAGGCGAAGGTGAATCTCTCAGCTCCCGCGCCAGACACGATCGATGGTGCAGTGAAGTGGCACATGTCACAGGTTTTGTGTGTTTGTGTGCGTGCTTGAATGAACAGGAGACAACCCACGCGCGATATTTTAAAAGTCTGTCGAGTTGTGCTTTTCAAGGAGACATCTTGACATATTTGGAGTATATCTGTGTGTGTGTTTGCTCTGATAACTAATACAATATTTCTGAGAATGTGACAATGCGTTACTGTAAATCGTGATATGCAATGCATCGTTGATTTGTAAATCATATGCACTGCTTTACGTCACATTAAAGTTTCTGTGATTGGAAAACTGTACCATTTTTACCCCTATTTTAAATCTCAAGGGAATTATTCTATGATTATATATTCTCACTATGCAGGTAATATTGCTAAGGATTGCAGAAACTATTACGCAAGTTGCAGTTGATCTGAAGTTAGGTGATTATCGAAATTTATGTCTCAGGCAATAAAAGTTAAATTGGAAGAATTCGGACACGAAATTGTAAAGCATTTGACACAATAAACTATTATTGTGTGCAGTGCCTGTATGTGTTCTGTATTGATATTGTCTCCCTGCCTTAACCCTGCCTCACCCACACACCCTCCCTCACCCACACACACCCTCCCTCACCCACACACACCCTCCCTCACCCACACACACCCTCCCTCACCCACACACACCCTCCCTCACCCACACACACCCTCCCTCACCCACACACACCCTCCCTCACCCACACACACCCTCCCTCACCCACACAGTTTAACATTCCAAAATACATCATTCCCCGCAACAGAAATAAAAGAAGCAGCATTAAATGGTAATGAAAACAAAGTCAGAGAACCCAAAATAGGAAGATAAGACGTGAGAGAGTGAGATAAAAGCCATGAGAGAACACAGACACCCTAGGGAGAACCCTGAGAGCTTCAAGAAGTCGGCTGATAACCTTAGCACCTCCTGGAGTGAGATATTTTCCAACTTATTTTGGTATGTATGAGAGTATGGAAGGAGTGGGTCGAGGCAAGGGGGGGGGGGTATTGATGGGTTGGTAGGGCCAGGGGGTGCCGCAGGGGAGGGTGGGGACAAACAGAGGGAGAAGGGGTGGATTGGTAGAGAAAGGGGGGGGGGAGATCATCGACTATTCAACCACAAAATGATAATAATTCCGAATAATGGGAGATTTTAATCAAGGCCAAATTGACTGGAAAACGAACCCGGAGAAGCAGAGAGAGAGAGAGAGAGAGAGAGAGAGAGAGAGAGAGAGAGAGAGAGAGAGAGAGAGAGAGAGAGAGAGAGAGAGAGAGAGAGAGAGAGAGAGAGAGAGAGAGAGAGGCAGGGTACCCAGCTACCAACATGAGGCAGGGTACCCAGCTACCAACATGAGGCAGGGTACCCAGCTACCAACATGAGGCAGGGTACCCAGCTACCAACATGAGGCAGGGTACCCAGCTACCAACATGAGGCAGGGTACCCAGCTACCAACATGAGGCAGGGTACCCAGCTACCAACATGAGGCAGGGTACCCAGCTACCAACATGAGGCAGGGTACCCAGCTACCAACATGAGGCAGGGTACCCAGCTACCAACATGAGGCAGGGTACCCAGCTACCAACATGAGGCAGGGTACCCAGCTACCAACATGAGGCAGGGTACCCAGCTACCAACATGAGGCAGGGTACCCAGCTACCAACATGAGGCAGGGTACCCAGCTACCAACATGAGGC